CAGCCACCCCCCAGCCAGGGGCCTTCCCTGGGGACACGGGTTGGGGGGAGATTTCCGGATGGGCTCCAGGGAGGGCGAGAATTTGGTGTTGGGGGCGGCAGCCAGGCTGTCAGGCTGGGTGAGGGGTTTGTGCCAAGTTAAGTATGAATGAAGACCCCCGCGGACCCCTCCCCGCCCCGGCGGCCCAGGGTGCCCCCAGAGGGGCTTCCAAGTTTGTCAGACCCGAGGAGGAGTGCCCCAGCCCCGTGCGCCCTGGGGTCCCGCCTCTGGGCAGCCCCTGGCCGGTGTTGCTGGCCTGGAGGGGCCCCGTGGCTGGGAGCTGTGGCTCTCGGCCCGTGGGTGCTGGTGTGCGGGGCAGATGCGGCCGAGCCGGCTGAGACTCCCCACTGCGGGGCCTGGCGTGGCGCTGGCCGGGGCTCCTGTGTGGGCTGCCGGCTTCTGCACACGCATGTGCACACGCACACACACACACACTCACAACACCAGGCTCCCCCAGAGGGTGCCAGACCCTCAGTCCCAACTCAAACCCCCGACCACCCTGGAGGGAGAGAGCCGGTCCTTGGGGTTGGCACAGGGAACAGGAGGGCAGAGGGGTGGCTGTGTCCCCGGGGGTCCAGGAAGGGGCGAGACTGGGACCCCCACCGCTGCGTCTCCCACTGGGGAGACCCCGGGCTGGCGCTCCCGGAGCAGTGCTCTCTGGCCGGGGCCTCCCAGGCCGCCCGCGCCCCAGGCCGGGTGGCGAGTCCTGGGCTCTGATCACATTTGTTTTTTTCTAAGCTGTGGCTGGCTGAAGTGCCGTGCAGTTGAAGGTCCATTTAAGCGACTACTTGCCTAAGCCCTTTTGTCAACAGAGCCTAATCCCTCGCGGGGGGTGGGTGTCAGAGGGCCTGGTGCGGCTGGCCGGGGCTCTGCTGGCCACTGGGGCCGGACCCGGCGCTGCCTGGGAGGCTGGGCTGCCCCTCTGGGCTGGGTCAGGCGCTTTCCCTTCCTCGGGCCTGGTGGCACTGGGAGGAGAGTCGCCCCTGCTCCGCGGCCCTGCTGCCCGGGGCTGGCCTGGCTCCCGTGCCTGCTGGGGGCTCGAGGCCCGAGCCTGCGGGGTCCGAGGGTCTCAGAGCATGCCAGGCCCTGTTGGCTGCTGGTGGTTGCTTTCCCCTGGGGGACCTGGTGGCCCGGAGCAAAGGCGTGGGCTCCCTGACCACTGTCCAGGGCGGCCCTAGGCCCAGGGGGAGCACGGAGCCCCGCGGGGGGCTTCTGGTAACATCGGAGCCCTTGGGACCCAAAATAGAGCGCATTCCCCGGCCTCCCAAAATAACAGGGTCACGTGGACCCACGGAGGCCGGGCTTGGAGCGCAGCTCGGGCTTGGCCAGGCAGCTCCCGGCCGCGGGGGGCCGTTGGGGTGTTTGTTTTGGTAGAATCCGGGGTGGGGGGGACTGTGTGTGTTGACCTGAGAAAGTTTCGGGGTGAGAATGACGGCCCTCAGACAGACGCCTGCCTGGCCGTGGCCGTGGCTGTGGCCGTGGCCACCACCTTGTCGGGCATGCGACTCTGCAGCCGGCTGCTGCGCGTGGGCCCAGGCGTACAGCCCCGACCCCTCTGCCCAGAGGTGGGGGACAGGGGACCACCACCCCACCAGTCCCCCGCCTCCCGGTCTCAGGCTGCGGCGGCCCTGAGGCCTTCGGAGGTGTGGGTGCAGAGCGGAGCCAGCAGCACCAGTCACGTGGGCGGCAGCCGTGGCCGGGTCCGGCTCTGCCAGCACTTCCAGCTGTGCCTGTCTTTCAGGGCCGTCTGCTGCGCAGGCTGCGGCCCGTCCCCTCGGAGCCGGAGCCGGGGAGGCTTGGTTGCGGCATGCCTGCCGTCTGCCCCGGGGCCGTGGTGTCGGGAGAGGGTGGCCGAGGCGGGGTGTGTGTGTGTGTGTGTGTGTGTGTGTGTAGGCGGGGTGGGGTCTTCAGTGTCCACCCAGGGCCAGCGAGCCCTGCCCGGGGGCTGCCTCCGCCCGTGACCTGGGTCTCGGCTCAGTTTGAATGTCTCAGGGCTGGTGTCCTGAGTGCCGAGCGAGGCCTGGTCCTCTGGAAAGGAGGGGTCCTGTGCCCAGCTCAGCCGTCCCCGGAGACACGGGGCAGGGGCCTCCCAGCTGGCTCAGGGCCGGCCCGTCGCTGGGCCGGGGCCTTGCAAGCCGAGGCCTGCCCCTCCCGCGCTGGCCCGGTTTATCTCCCCCAGCCTGGGGGAGTCCCATTCGCTGGCTTATTTGCACGGGGATTGGCCGCAGGCCGGTGACTGGTGGGGGCCGCTGTCTGATCGGGGGGGCACCCTGTCCACGGCCAGCAGCGTTTGTGGTCTCCGAGTGCCGTCCGTCTCTCACCTTCCCTTCCTCTCCGCCTCCCGTTCCCTCCTTTTCTGGGCCGCAGAGGGGACGGGACAGGGGCCCCCCAGAACAGTCAGGGGACATCCCCGGGAAAGCCAGCCTTGCGTGGGCCCTGAAGGACAGGCACAGCTGGGAGCGCCACCCGGCCTTGGGCTCCTCCGGGCTTCTCTCGTGGGGAACATCTCCCCCTCTTTGGAGCCGAGACCCACCGTCAGGTCCTCTCTGCCTGCAGCCTGGGTCCGGGCGGCGCCGGGTCTCCAGTGTCAGACCGAGCGAGACCCGCCGATGTGGGCGAGCGTGCGAGCGTGGGGGAGCAGGTGGGAAAAGGGGGCCTCGGCGGGCACAGAGGTGGCCCTGGCACCGGCTCCACGCAGGGCCCTCCCTGGAGCCTGGGGAGGCGGTGAGCGGGAGACCGCGGCGCCCGCGAGCGCTCAGCATGGCCGTGGTCTTGCCCCAGCGCCTCTCGGGCGGGCGGACTGACCCTGGAGTTGGGAGGCAACTGTGCAGCTCAGCGGCTGAGCGGGCATGAAATGGGGCAGAGCGCGGTGGAGTCCGACGTCTGGGCCGTGGCGGGGAGGGAAGCGGGCTGCAGGCCCTGCCCGCGTGCACGCACCCGTGTCCTGGGGGGTGCGCGGGTGGGAGGAGGAGGAGGCTCCCTGGCTCCCTCCTGGGATCCCTGCTGCCCCGCGCGTTGCCGATCGCTGCATCCGGTGGGTGCCTCGTGGGACCCCGTGGTGGCCTCTCCGAGGGGCTGGCCTCCCAGATGGGGTGGGGGTGGGGTGGGGGACGGTCTGTTGCCCTTTGCACCCGGCTGTTTTGCCCCTGGGCAGTGCCCTCTGCTGTTCCCGGCAGATTGGTGCCCCAGGCCAGGGTCGGTGGGCCGGGCTTCCTGGGGCAGGGGCGCCCACCCCCCAGCTCCTGCTGCGCCCCCTCCCCGCTGTGGCATCCTTGGGAGCCGCCCGCCCCCCAGTCCCCGTCAGGGTCTCGGCATCCTGTTTGGTGACGCGGGCCGAGGGCCGCGGTCCGGCCGTCTCAGCCCTGTCCCCTGGCGCCGTACTCATGGCCTCTGCTGTCAAAGGCCCTCGCCCCCACCGGGGTCCCTGTTGGCTGGAGAAGGCTGCAGGGAGCCGGCCGGGGGACTGGGAGGGTTTGGCCACACGAGGTCCCCAGGGCGGGGACTCTGTCGTCTCTGGGCCCCCGTCCTCAGCACGCATGTGCACGTGGACGGCCACGCTGCACAGTCCCCGTGCGCCCTTCCTGCGCCTGTCTTCCGCTTGCAGGCGCCTGCCAGCTGGGCCCTGCCACCCGGGGGCAGGGAGGAGCGTGGTCTCGGGTGGGCGCCCGGTGCCAGGACAGCCAGAGGCCTGGCGGTGGTCTGGAGGGGCGGGGACGTGTGAGGAGGTGAGGCCGGGAGGGGCCTCCGGAGACTGGGGCGTGGTGGCATTCCCGGCTGGAGTTAGGCTCCCGGGTGCCGAGGGTGAGGGCTGCTTCCAGGGGGTCCTCGGGACCCTCAGGAGCGGCAGCAGCCTGGGCTGGGGGCTCCAGTGGTTTCCTGGGGGTCCCCCGGCTCCTCTGCCTGCGCCCTCCCAGGCACACCTCCCTGCGGTCCCGCCCCTTCTGACCTTTGCTCCTTAGGTCTGTCCTGGGGTGAGGGGCCCCCCTCCCCCACCGCTAACCGAGCCTGCTCAAGGCCTGGAGCGCTCCGAGCTGGGTGGCAGGACAGGTGCGGTCCCGGGGGCCAGGAGGGCCAAGCCCAGGCCCAGGACCCTGGATGGCAGGGCCCCAGAGGGCCGTGCTGGGGCTGGACCTCGGGGCCGGGCGTTGTGGGGTCTCCCTGCCCCAGACCGCATGGCCTCTGGGGGAGGGCGCACAGGGAACCTGGCCTGAGGGCCTGACAGTGTTTCCCACTGGGCCTCAGTTTCCCCAGGGCACGGGCTCAGGCTGGGGAGGGGAGGGGCGGGGGAGCTGGGCCCGGGCCAGGCCGTGTGAAATCCTCCAGTGCGTGGATAAGCCCCGTGGAGTTCAAAGCCGCCGGGTTTGGAGCCCGGCTGTAATGAGGTTACTGATTCAACAGGCTTCCTGGTGCTGCCGCCCAGAACCCAGGGCGGCTGCGAAGCCCCAGGGAGGGAGCTAAGTGTCCCGTAATTGACCAATTTAGCTTAAGTGTCCGAACTGGCCCGGGGCAGAGGTCAGGCGGTGACAGCCAGGTGCGCGGGGAGGCCTCCCAGGCGCCCTGTCCAGACCCCTTCCGAGCACCCCCCGGGGGGAGCTCCCTCTGCCCCCGGCCTCCGGCCAGAGCCCCCCGGGGGTCCTTGTGCCCACCCTTCTGTGCACCGAGAGGGTGCCGGGTGGTGCTGTGGTGTGGGACCGCGTGCCCGCTGCCGGGCTCAGGCCCCACTGTCAGCTCTGCTGGCCTCGCGTGTGTTCACACAGGGGCCGGGGGAGGGGGCTGTCCCCTGGGGTGCGCCCGGTGCCCTGCAGCGCCCAGCCTGGCGCCCGAGGCCCTGCCTGGCGGTTCACCCTGTTGAGCTGCGCGCCCTCCTCCCCACACCGTGGTCACTGACGGTGGCTGGAGCCGGGGCCATGTGAGCCTGAGGATGGGGGGCTGGGCAGAGGCAGTTCTGGGCTCCAGAGGCAAACTCTGGGGTCCGTGGGTGCACGACCCCTGACCCCCATGGCTCAGAGTAGCTCAGGCCGCCCCGCCCCCCAGGCCTGCCCTTCCGAGGCCGTGCAGGGGTGCAGCCCAGGCTCTCCGACCGGCTTGCCGTGTGGCCCTGGCTGGGTCCCCTCCCCTCGCTGGCCTCGGCTTCTCTGGGGCCCGCTGGCACCCCGAGGCCACCCCCTTCCCCTGCTGCCACTTGGCGTGGTGCTGAGGGGCTGGTGTCTGGCTGGCGGGGCCACGGCCGGGCACAGGCTCTGCCCTCCTCCCACCCCCGCCGCCCCCGGCTGTGGGAGCAGAAAGTGGGTGGGGGGAGGGCCAGAGTCCGGGGGGGCCGGGGCGGGCGTGTGGTCAGCCCAGCCACGTGGACTGGGAGCGCTGGAACAGACACTTAGTGGCCTTAACAGTGGAGGGGCGGTGGGGGCAGCTCCGTGCCCGCCCCGCCGAGGCCAGGCCACCCCCTCCTCTCCCTGGGCGCCGACCTCTGCTGCCCGGGGTCCTGCACAACCCCCGCCCGGCCCCCCGCCCAGCGTCAGGCGGCCTCCTCACTGCCCGGGCTTGCTCCGGCCTGCAGAGCGTGGGAAGTCCTGGGAGCTTCGCAGAGGAGATGGTGTTGTGCGTGGGTTTTGAGGGGGGCGTAGGAGTTGTTGAGTGTTGGGAAGTTGTGTTGTTGGGAAGGGAACCGAGGTACAAGGCAGGGGGCCGGGTGGACCTATTCCAGGGAGGTCTGGCCCCAGCCGTGGGTACAGGGTCTTCCTTGGAAGGTGTCGGGGGTCTGCTCTGATGGGGTGTGAGTGTCTGGGTGGGGGACCGCGTCGCCTGGGCGTGGTCAGCGGTGTGGGACGGGTGGGCCCTGTGAGGGGCAGAGGCCGGGAGCATGCTTGGCCTCCACCTGGCCATGCCCAGCCTGGCTGCTCCCCGGGCCGTCCCCTGTGGCCTGGCTGGTGTCCCTCCTCCTTCCCCGGGCACCAGAGGCCCTGGCCTGGAGTATGGCCCACGCCGTCAGCCTTGGGGCACCGGCTCACGGGGTGAGTGGCCCTTATGGGGGGGTCCCTCCTCTGCCCACGTGCCCGTCCCTGCCTCCCCTGCCGCGGGCCGGGCTGGGTGTTGTCTGCCGGAAGCCGCTGCCTGAGTGCTGAGTGGGACCAGAGTCCACGGGAGGCGGCGCTGCCCCCACCCCACCCCACCCCTGCTCCCGGACTTTCAGCCCAAGATCAAGGTCGAGGAGAGGGCGGGGCGGCGGGCGCCTCTGTCATTGGGTGCCAGGCCTCCGTGGGCGAGGCCGGGGCGGGGGAGCTGGCCCGCCTCTTCTCCCTTCTCTGTCACTCTGGGCCAAAGGTCAGGGCACCAGCGTGCCGGCCCGGTGGGGTCCGCCGTCTTGCACGGCTGGCACCCCGGAGCCTCGCGCTGGGCAGGCCCAGCGGCGGTGGTCTCCGCGCCCGTGCTGGACGCCAGGCCCAGGGCAGTGGGCTGCCGGCTCCCGACGGACGCCGAGCCTTGGAGCACCCGCTTCTGCCTCTCACTACTCAACGTCAGGTTCCACGTTGGTGAAGCGGAAGGAAGGGGCAAGGCGGCAGTGGGAAGGCAGCCCCGAGACCCCCGAGACCCCCAGTCCTGCCCCACCCGCCCCAGCTGGCTCCTGGCGCCCGTCGTCCGTGGGATTGGCTCGTAGGGTGCCGCACCATGCCCGTGGCGTCTGCTCGGCGAATCGGTGCTCCCCAGGGCTCAGGCTGGGTGGGATGAGCCCGTCCCTCGCTGAAGTGGGTTAAGTCACCCACATGAGCCACCCTGCTCCTGTGGGGTCTGTGCGACCCCCGGACGGGGAACTCCTAGGCTGGCCTGGGGCCCTCGGCGCGCGCCGAGCTCTGGACAGAGCACAGGTTCCCAGATGCAGAGGGAGGGGCCCCTGCCCCCGCCCCCCGCTGTGGGCCCTGGCTCCTTCCTGTGCTGCCCGGGGCCGGGGTCGGGGCATAGCTCCCACCTGCTGCTCTCTGTCCATCTGTCTGTCCACATCTGGTTCCTGCTGGCCTGGGGAGGCCGGGTGGAACCAGGCGCAGCCCTCGAGGGGGTGAGGCCAGGGTGGGCGCTTCCCTGTGTGGGCTTGGACCAGGTTTCTCGTGACCCCCTGGACCCCGACTTCTCATCTGGGAAGTGGGACTGTCGTCAGTCTCCAACAGGGCGGTGGGCGGAGGGGGGTGGGGGGGCTGGGCTGGCCGTGGCGCGTGGGGGCTGGGCCTTGTGTGTGGGTCACGAGGGTCGCCCAGGAGGTTGCCCCGCCCCGCACGGTGTGTGACAGCGGCGCACCCCGCGGTAGCACTGGGGTGCAGAACTGGAACCCAGGAGAGACGACCCAGGTGGGCTTTGGTTAGCTGCTCAGCTGCTGGCCACTCCTCGAGGTGCCTGGGAGACAGAGGTAGGGGCCGTGCTCCAGGAGGCCCCTCGTCCACAGCTGCTGGGGGGCGGGGCGCAGGCAGGGCCCGCCTTCCCAGGCTCACGGGGGAGACGGGCGGTCGGCAGCAGCCAGTGAGGGATCTGGGTCGGGGTGCAGGCCAGGGCTGCGGGAGGAGCGCCCCCTTGCCCGAGGTGCTGCCGGCCAGCAGGGAAGCAGGAGAGAGGCCAGGGGGTGGGGTCAGACTCCAGGGCCCTGGCCGTCCTGCCCCGAGGGGGACAGAGCGGAGGTGCCGGCTCCTGGGCCCTGAGGGCGGCGTCTGAGCTGAGCTGGGTGGAGGCTCTGCTGCTGGGGGGGGCGGGATACGAGACCTCGAGCCCTGGGGACAGGCTGGGCTGTACTGGGGAGGCACTGGGAACTTGGCGTGGGCGTGGACCTGCTGCCCGGCCTGTGTGTGGGGGCGGCCGGGGCCAGGTGGTCCTGGGGCGGCTGGGGTGGGGTGTTCCTGTGAAAGGCACCTGCCCAGCTCTCTGCGCGCTCTGGGGTGGGGGGCAGTCCTAGAGCTGGCTTCTGGTTCGTTCGTTCTTTCGTTCTTTCTTTCTTTCTTTCTTTCTTTCTTTCTTTCTCTTGATTTATTTATTTATTTATTTATTTGAAAGAGTTACAGAGAGGCAGAGAGAGAGAGAGGTCTTTCACCCGCTGGTTCACTCCCCAAGTGGCCACACGGCCGGAGCTGCGCCGATCTGGGTCTCCCACGCGGGTGCAGGGCCCAAGGACTTGGTCCATCCTCCACTGCTTTCCCAGGCCACAGCAGAGAGCTGGGTGGGAAGTGGAGCAGCCAAGTCTCATACCGGCGCCCGTGTGGGTGCCAGCACTGTAGGCGGTGGTTTTACCCGCTGTGCCACAGCGCCAGCCCCCAGCCGCCCCCTCTCATTTCCCAGGCACTGCCCTCCGCCCTCGCGGCTCCCGGGCTGCAGAGAGCGTGGACGCCCAGCGTCGGGCCCACGAAGCCGGCAGCAGGGAGGGGTCAGGTGGGCACGCCGGTCCTGGTTGAGCTGGTGAGGGACTCGTCAGCCGCCCCTGTGTGGCTGGAGGCGCCGGGTGGCGAGTGGCATGTCCTGGATCCCTGCCAGCAGCTGAGCCTGCCGGGGAGGGGGCTCCTGTGGCTGGGGGGTGGGGGCCTCCCTGTTGCAGCCTCCGTGGGGCGGCTGCGCAGTGTCCAGCAGGCAGGGCTGTCAGGGCCTCGGCCGGCCGGCGTCGTCCCCAGGCCTCCCTCGGGCAGGGTGTGGGCCCGTCCTGGCGACTCAGGCCGGCTCCGGGGCCGCGCACGCGTGCTCAGGTGGCCTCTTCCAGGTCACGGGCGAGGCCGAGGTCCCCGTACCTATGCGGCCGCCCTGCCCGCACTGGATCCCAGGACCGTGTCCGTGCTGGGCACCGCTGGAGGGGAGGAGCGGACGGCTCCCTCCCTCAGGTGTCCCTGGCCGCCTTTCCCAGAACGGGCGATTGTTGGCGGCACCCTTGTGCACCAGGGATTTGGTGCTTGGTGTCGGCCCACACCAGCAGGGACCCGGCTGGCCCACCAGCGCCTGGCGTCTGAGTCACTTGCCTGGGGTTGGCCACTGGCCCTGAGCCCCAACGCCCCAGCGCCCGTCTTGTCCAGCTCTGAGCGGCCCCCTCTGCGCCCCCCACCCCCGCCGGGCCCTCTGGCCGCACCGTCTTCCCCAGACCCCACTCGGGCACCTGCATCAAAGCCGGGGGCGGGCTCCCTGCAGTGGGTAGGGCTCTGAGCCCGGGTACACGTGGGAGCCCGTGTGCACCAGTGTCCACGTGTGAGCCCATGGCCCGCCACCCTGCGCCGTCAAGTCAGAGCTTGCGCCCGGCTCCTCCGTCAGCCGAGGGCCCTGGGGGTTGGTGTCCTGGCCGAGGGGACAGTGTGGGCGCGCGGGCAGGCCCAGCCCCGTGGGTGTTGGGGGGAGGGGCCGGGGGAGCTGGGGTTTTCCCCCCAGTGGGGACGGCTGGGTCAGGCTGATGACGCCATTCCCCAGGGTGGGAGGGGGTGAGGAGCTCCTGAAGTTGACCCCAGGCCACGGCCACGGGGACTTGCACGTGGACCGCATCCCACTGCCGTGGCCCAGACTAAGGCAGGCATCACTAGTCGTCTGTCGCACACAGATTCTCCCCCGGCAGGTGCCCAGGGCCCAGCCCCCGACGTGGTGCAGCCTGGGTGTGGCCCTGCCCGGCCGCCTGGCCGCTGTGTCTGCCGTGGAGTTGTGTCCCGGGAGGTCAGGCGTGTCTGCCGTGGAGTTGTGTCCCCGTGGAGTTGTGTCCGGGAGGTCAGGCGTGTCTGCCGTGGAGTTGTGTCCCGGGAGGTCAGGCGTGTCTGCCGTGGAGTTGTGTCCCGGGAGGTCAGGCGTGTCTGCCGTGGAGTTGTGTCCCGGGAGATCAGGCGTGTCTGCCGTGGAGTTGTGTCCCGGGGAGGTCAGGCGTGTCTGCCGTGGAGTTGTGTCCCAGGAGGTCAGGCGTGTCTGCCGTGGAGTTGTGTCCCGGGAGATCAGGCGTGTCTGCCGTGGAGTTGTGTCCCAGGAGGTCAGGCGTGTCTGCCGTGGAGTTGTGTCCCGGGGAGGTCAGGCCGTGTCTGCCGTGGAGTTGTGTCCCGGGAGGTCAGGCGTGTCTGCCGTGGAGTTGTGTCCCGGGAGGTCAGGCGTGTCTGCCGTGGAGTTGTGTCCCGGGGAGGTCAGGCGTGTCTGCCGTGGAGTTGTGTCCCGGGAGATCAGGCGTGTCTGCCGTGGAGTTGTGTCCCGGGAGGTCAGGCGTGTCTGCCGTGGAGTTGTGTCCCGGGGAGGTCAGGCCGTGTCTGCCGTGGAGTTGTGTCCCGGGAGGTCAGGCCGTGTCTGCCGTGGAGTTGTGTCCCGGGAGGTCAGGCGTGTCTGCCGTGGAGTTGTGTCCCGGGAGGTCAGGCGTGTCTGCCGTGGAGTTGTGTCCCGGGAGGTCAGGCGTGTCTGCCGTGGAGTTGTGTCCCGGGGAGGTCAGGCGTGTCTGCCGTGGAGTTGTGTCCCGGGGAGGTCAGGCGTGTCTGCCGTGGAGTTGTGTCCCGGGGAGGTCAGGCCGGGCTGGGCCCCGAGCCGGGCCGTCACGCACACGTTAGCGCGAATGGGCTGCAGCAGACCCCGGAGCGGCCGAGCAGGAAGGGACAGGAAGGAAGGCTTCCTGCCATTGTGTGGACGAGGAAGTCGTGGACTGGGCGGCGTGGCCGGCCGCCTCGCGCTTGTCTCCTGACCGCCCACGGGAAGGCTCTGTGCTGCCCGCTCCCCACGCTCCCCACAGTGGGCCCTGCACCCCCGGCGTGACCACAGGGCCGAGGGCAGCGGGGGCAGGGTCTGTGCCCCCCCAGGTTGGTGTCGGGGTGGGCGGGGCACAACCTCGTGGCAGGGGCGGGGCCTGGAGCGGAGCCCGCCCTGTGTTTCCTACACACACACCCAGTGCTGGCTGGAGCCATTTTATTTCTGTTTCCTATTTTTACTTCCCTGTTGGCTCTTTTTAGCAACTCCAAGTGAGAGAGGGCCCCGCCCACGGGGCTCCACCCGGCTTCCTGGCCCCGCCGGGCCTGGAGGAGGCTGGCGTGGGTGACCTGGGGTGGGGCGGGGGAGCGGGATCCCAGCGCACACCTGGGCTGAGCTCCCCGCTCGCTCCCCGTCCTGTCCTCAGGCCCGGCCGAGCCGTGGTCCCTGCGCTCCCAGCTGGAGGGCGAGGGCTGGGGGGTGCCCTGGGGGGCAGCAGTGGACTTCGTGCGCTGTCTGCTCTGGCCTGGCCGCCCGTGGTGCGGGCCCCGCCCCTGTCGGGTCCCTGGTGCCGTGGGGTTTGAGATGCCCCCTCTGGTGGGCGCTGTTGGGGGGCGTCTCCCTCAGGGCCTGGGGGCTGAGCTGATCCGCACCTGCCTGTCGGGGCACAGTCAGGCCCAGCCGGTGGGCGGAGTCAGGGTGCTGGACAAGGCCCCCGGCCCAGCGGGGCTCCCAGGCCCGAGCGGGGTGGGGGGTGGGAGAGGGCGCTGGGGTCCCGCTGCGCTGCCCCCTCCCATCCCCGCAGGCCCCCTGGGCTTCCCGCAGGGCTGGGGCCCGGAGCCGATACTGGCAGCCCCTGCAGTGCCCAGCTGGGCCCTCCCTCCCTGGCTGGTGTCCTCCGTCCCATCCGATGTCGGAGGTGTGGCCATCGGGGGTGCCGCCATGGCGGCCAAGCCCTTGGGTCGGGGGCGTGTCCTCAGCCGAGGCCCCTGCAGACTGGGAGGTGAGGAGGGGGCTCCTCTGCCCCCCCCCCCCCCCGCGCCGTGTGGCCCAGGCCTTGTTGTGCTCCTCTGTGAAGTGGGTGACGGTGTCCCGGGAAGGTTTACCAAGCCAGGGCCTCCCCTTGGGCTCCTGGCGGGGAGGAGCCGGGGCCGGGGCTGTGCGGAGGTGTGGGGGCTGTGCCCCTGGAGGGGCGCGTTGCCCTGGGGGGGCTGGTTTCAGGGGCAGTTGCTTGCAGGACCGTCCAGGGGCCCAGCAGTTCCTCCAGACTGATGGGCGGCTCCCAGGCCTGGGGCCCTGTCTTGGACATTCCCCTGCCCCACACGTGGCCTGGAGATGCCGCTGCCCTGGGGTGCCGCACAGAGCTGGTCACAGTGGGGGTGGGATAAGGCCCCCCTCCCGCCCTCCAACACGCAGCCGTGCTGGACCCCTGGGGCCCAGCAAGGTGGTCATGCCTCCTCCAGCTCTCCAGGAGGGCCTGGCCACACCCAGCCCAGGGTGCCTGGTGGCCGCGTCCTTGTCAGATCTGTCCCAGTCCCGGGGCAGGGGGATGTCAGGGGGCTGTGTGTGCAGCCTGCAGCCCCCATAGCCCCCGTCCCTGGGCAGAGGGGCGTGGGGCCAGGCCTGGGGGGTCTGTGTGTGCAGCCCCCGTCCCTGTGAGAGGGGTGTGGGGCCAGGCCTGGGGGGTCTGTGTGTGCAGCCTGCAGCCCCCATAGCCCCCGTCCCTGTGAGAGGGGCGTGGGGCCAGGCCTGGGGGGGCTGTGTGTGCAGCCCTCGTCCCTGGGCAGAGGGGCCAGGCCTCGGGGCTCTGCTTCCTGCGCTGGCCCCTGACTCAGCAGCCACAGGGTGGGGGAACTTAGATTTCTCAACAGAACCCACCCCACCCCCGCCTCTGCCAAGCCCCGGGTTTTTCTCCCAGAGCCCTGGTCCCTGCCTGGCGGGGGGGGGCTGGATCCTGGCCCTGTGGGCCTCACTCCCCGTGCACTGGTCCCTGCCTGGCGGGGGGGGGGCTGAATCCTGGCCCTGTGGGCCTCACTCCCCGTGCACTGGTCCCTGCCTGGGGGGGAGGGGGCTGGACCCTGGCCCGTGGGCCTCACTCCCCGTGCACTGGTCCCTGCCTGGGGGGGGGCTGGATCCTGGCCCCGTGGGCCTCACTCCCCGTGCACTGGTCCCTGCCTGGGGGAGGGGGCTGGACCCTGGGCCCTGTGGGCCTCACTCCCCGTGCACTGGTCCCTGCCTGAGGGGGGGGCTGGATCCGGGCCCCGTGGGCCTCACTCCCCGTGCACTGGTCCCTGCCTGGGGGGGGGGGGGCTGGATCCTGGCCCCATGGGCCTCACTCCCCGTGCACTGGTCCCTGCCTGAGGGGGGGGCTGGATCCTGGCCCCGTGGGCCTCACTCCCCATGCACTGGTCCCTGCCTGAGGGGGGGGCTGGATCCTGGCCCGTGGGCCTCACTCCCCGTGCACTGCTCTCCTCGGCCAGCCTCGCGCTGCCCCTCGGTCCTGCTGATTCCCTGTAACCCCGTCCTGGCCGGCTGCCCCCTCCTGACAGCATTCCCCGTGGCTGCCTCCTCCAGGAAGCAGCCTGGATTAGGGTCTGTGCCTCCTGCCCCCCCTACCGGCGGCCGTGGAGCCGGGGCCTGGAGCCTCAGTGGCGCCGTCGGGCAGTGGGTGAGGAGCTGGGGCTGGAGCCCCGATGCCCCCCGGGTGGACTTGGCTGCAGGCCGGGGAGAGCTGGGGGCAGCATCTGGCTCGGCACTAGGACTGCTGCAGAGTGGACTGTGGTTCCGTGCCCCGCCCCGAGGTTCCGACTCCCCCAGCCCAGCGAGCCTGGCAGCCCCTGCGTGGGAGGTGAGCGGTTGGGAGTGGACCTGCCCGGGGCCCTGGCGGCGGTAGGACAGGATCTGGTGTGTCCTGGCCACTGGGGGTGGGAACGGGGGTGCGTGGCCGTGTGGTTGCCTCCGTGGGGTCTCCTGCCCCGGCCGTGGCACCTGCTTGGCCCGCTGGGCTGTGGGCCTGGGAGACTGGGAGCCTGGGGCTGGGGAAAGCTTCAGTTAGTGGCTGGGTGGTCTCGGATGACCGGGGGCAGCGGGTCCATCAGTCCATCGCCGGGGCTGTGGCCTGGCCCTGTTGGGTTCTCGTTCCGGATCCAGTGACCGCGCGTGGCCTCTGCCCGGCCGGCCGCCTGCCTCGAGGCTGCTGAGGGGTTTCCGACAGGGAACCGAACCGAGCCGGACCCTTGCCCGGCAAGGCGCCGAGGGGGGACAGAGCAGCCGGAGCTGGGGGCACTGGCTCTCCCTGGCCTCGGCCCTTGCGTAGTGCAGGGGGGGAGGTGCCAGGAATGGAAGTCCCCGCTCTGTGTCCCGGTCATGCACCGTGAAATCTGCGTCAACTCCAGTGGCAGTGCCGCAGCGTCTAGGTGCCCGCTCCCACGGGAAGCCCTCTGTGGTTCCCCCCTCTGGGATCCGGCTCCTGTTCCTAGGACCGGTGTGTCTGGGGGCGAGGACGGCAGGCTGGGCAGTGTCTGGGGTGGGGGTGGCAAGGGGAGGCTGGCTCTCAGCCCTGAGCGCCGGGCTGTCAGGGCCCACACGGAGCCCCCAGCCCCTTGCTGGGGGCACCTGGCCTGCGTCCTGTGGCTGTGGAGGTGGGGCTACCCTCAGACCCTGGCGCTGGTTCCTGCCCGGGTGCCGCGCCCCTGGGGACTGGTCCCGCCCCCCACCCCCGGCACAGCTCTGCACCTGCTCGCTCCCCCGGGAGTCTTCCTGCGGCCGCTGCCCCTCAGTTCCTGCTTGTCTGTCACCCGCCCCCCCCCCACCTGCCTGGAACCGCTGGCTGTGGTGGCCTTGACTGGGCACTGCCACCTGCCCGGCCCGTTTGTCCCTTCTGAGAAGCCGGCTGTGGGTTGCTGGTGGGCTCGTGTCCTGGGGCCGGGCGGGCAGAGTGCTGGGTGGAGGTGAGCCATGGGGGGCCCACCCTGGGGCTGAGCCCCCGCCCCTCCCAGAGCCCAGGGGCCGGGTGCGGTGGGGGAGGGGGCGGCAGGGCCCAGCTGAGGCTCGAGGCACGGGGTCAAGGCTGTCCCAGTCCCAAGACTGGGTGGGCTTGGGCGGTCGCGGCGGAGGTGCCGGGCGTGCAGGAGCCTGAGTGTCCCCCCCGCCCCGGCGTGGGGCTGTGTGAGAGGCAGGGCAGAGAAAGGGTTAAGGCATCGAGGGATGTAATCATGTTTCTAATTTTCCTGTGTGATTTAATAAAAATGTAAATGGCCGGGCGGACAGCGCGCCCGCCGCGGCCGGCCTGAGATTGATGGCGGGCGCGGTGGGCAGCGGCCTTTGTGTCTGCGCCCGAGCCGGGCCCGGCGCCCCCGCCTGCCCCGCAGGCCACACACCGGGGGCAGGCTCTGCACCCTCTGCCCGGATGGGGAGCCGGGGGCCCGGGGGAGCCTCGGGGGGCCCAGGGCGCCTAGGATGACCCGAGGCCTGTGTTCACGACGGCCGCGGCCCTGGTGAGTCCCGGCTTCCTCGCGTGGCGTTCGAGCTGGGGTTGTGGGTGTGGAGGAAGAGCCTTCCAGGAGGCTCCGTGGGAGCCGCACGTGCAGAGGCCCCGCGGTGGTGCCGCGCTCGGCTTCGAGGGCTGGTGCCGGGCTAGGGCTGGAGTCGGGGGCCAGCTGTGCGCTGACAGGCGGCGGAGCCTGGCGGGTGCTGGGTCAGCCCCAAGGGTGGCGGGCGGCTTTGGGGGGCTGTAGGTGGGGGACCGGGGCAGCGCGGAGCCCCTGAGCGCTGGGCTTTGGTGGCACCGTTGGTCACAGGCCCAGCTGGGGCTGCGGTGACTGAGGAGCTGGGGCCTGCAGTGTGGCCTCTGGGGGGGCGGGAGGGGGAGGGAGGCGCGGGCGCCGGGCTGTGTGCGGCCACTCGGGGCGGACGGGCGGTGGACGCTGGCGTGGAAGCCTCCCCAGGGCGGAGCTCCGGGGTCCGCGGTCAGAGCTTGGAGGCCCCAGGTGCAGCGTTGTGCGGGCAGCGGGGGCCACGTGGCCGGCGTCAGTGTCGTGGGTTATGGTGGGGGGTGCTGGGCGCAGGGCCTCCTGGAGGCCTGTCCTGTGACTTCCTGCCACACCGAGCCAGCCACGGGGCTGCCACAGACACAGGGTGGCCCGTGTGCCCTTTTGATCTCCGGGGCGCAGGTGCCATGGCCCAGGTCTGCCAGGCCGAGCTGCCGCCCCAGTGTCGCGCTGGGATGAAGAGACAGCCGCGGCCTGGTGCCTCCTCCTCCGCCCCGTCCTCCGAGTCCCGTCGTGGGTGCAGGACTCGGCGGCCGGAGGCTCGGAGCCGTTCCGGTCCCCAGGGAGAGCGGCGTCCCCAGGCTGGCTCCGGGCGCGGGCCCTGGCCTCCCTGAGGATGCCGGCTCGATGCTGTGAGCGGGGAAGCTGGCGCCGTGCCGGCGGGCGTGGTGGCTCCGGGAGGGGGCGGGGTGTGAGACCCAGTTCTGTCACCAGCGATGAGGGGCGGCCTCTGCTGAGGAGGCTGACGGGGCTCCCGGGAGCGCCTGAGGACGCGGGGTCCCCTGAGCCGGGCGGCGCCCAGCGGCGGGGCGGGGGGGAGGTCGGATGCTGAGAGGCCGGCTCCGGTGGGCCAGGCGCGGCGCGGGGCGCTGGCGTGCGGCGCGGGCACGGCCGGGCCTGGGTCGCCTGTGCGCCTGCCGACTTGGCCCCCGAGAAGCACGGCTCTGCCCAGGGTCGCCTGCCGGGTGCACCTGCCGGGAAGCCTGGCCGCAGCGGCTGGCAGGAGGGGTGTGGACAGCGGGCGGCGCCTCGCCCCGCCCCCGGCACCCTCCTCCCGTGCCGCTGTCCACAGCTGGAGCACAGGCCTGGGTCAGGGAGGGCGGCCACCAGCTGGCCGGCGGGCGCATCTGCCCCGCTCTGTCGGGAGCCGTGTCGCTGACCACGCGCTTTGATTAAATGGCCTGTCCGGGGCCGGCTGGGCAGCTGGGCAGCGTCAGGCCTCCACGGCAGGCCTCGCCCAGGCTGCCAGGGGAGGGAGGCCACGGGCCCCACCGGGGAGCCCCCTGGCCTCCCTCCCTGGACTCCACCCGAGAGGCGCTGGGCCCCTCCCCCAGCCCATTGGCTCCAAGGCAGGGTGAGGACTGGCTCCCCGGGGTGTGGGGTGGGGGCCGCCCTCGGGGCCTCTGCTCTGCTCCTGGCCTTGCTGGGTGGGCTCCTGGCTGTACTCACCTGGGGACCGGCGTCGGGGGTCCAGGCGCCTGTCCACCCTGCCCCAGCTTGCTGTTTGCTTCTTTGTTCGAGGGCAGACTGGGGGGAGGTGGGCTCCACGTGCCACACCGCCTGCTCCCACGGCACTGGGGGGGGGCATGCTCGGGGTCTGAGCCGGCCTGGCACTGGCTGGGCCCCCCCCACCCCCGCTTCATGTCCCCGTCTGTGCTGAGGGCTCACGGTGAGCCGGTGCGTGGCCGTGCCGGAGGCGGAGGGGCTGCACACGTGTGCCCCTGTGTCCAGCAACGGTGGGCGGAGCCCCACCCTCAGAGCTGCCTCAGTCCCCCCGCCCCCCGCAGCCGATGTGGCCCTGGGGCGGACGCCTGCCCGTGAGC